TTTTTTTTTTTTTTTTTTTTTTTTTTTTTAAATCACTCAAGTATTAAAGTGAATTGAGGAGGGTTATACTTTTCAACAGATTATTGGGAGAAATCAATAATAATTTCTGAAATAAAATCTTAAAAGTCCAAAGAGTTATTTGACTGTTGAAAATTCCACCAACTTAATGTTTTGCGCAAGAATTTACAGCGCAATTATCGATGGTTAGTCTGAAAAGCTACCTTTTCTCAATTACAACAGAGAGAGGTATTCACTAATACCTTAAAATTTTTAAAGTTACTATTCTTATTATTTAATTTTGGAAAATAACGTCTGAATGAAAATTTGAATTCAAATTTTAAAGAAAAAAATGTTAGTTGAAAAAGATATTATGTAAATTTTAATTCTTAAAAATACGGGCAATAATTTCCTTAAATACTGTGTATAAATTTTGACCAATTAGAAAGAATCTTGAAAACTTGCTATACCAATAAAGCTTCTCAATTTCGTTAAACTTTTTTTTTTTTTCCTGTCAAAGATAGTAATATGAGATTTTTTAGAATTTATGATAAGAATAAAGCAAGAAAATACATAAAAACATCTAAAACATATTAAAAAGACCACAAATTACAAACTCAAACGACATTGACTCTTGAAGGGAGGGAGTAAGAAGATAGTAATGAGTAAGTATCATATAAATAAATATTAGACAAAATCACACATTAGGAAAAAAAAAAGAATAGCAAAATACTCATCTTACCTAAGGTGTGTTATTTTTAAATATAAATAATATATAAATTTTGTAGATGGTTTTAAAGCCTAAAACAATTTATGTTATTGGAATTACAAAATTTTTTAATTAACTCTACTAATTTTCATATATGTATATCTTATTGGGATAAACCGCAGATGGATGTAAGCCTAAAGCAATTAATATTAATTGAATTATAAATTTTTTAATCAAGTCTACTAATCAATTTATATATATATATATATATATATATATTCACTCATAAAAAATAGTACGTTATGTTTGCAATTTGTATCATTATTAAGACATTATCCCAAGATGGTTCATTATTTTTTGGATTAATGTCTTAAAAATGATACATATTGCAACATAACGTACTGTTTTTTATGAGTAATGTCTAAAAAATGATACAAATTGCAACATGACGTACTATTATTGATGAGTAGAAAGTTGGTGTACAAAAAATGTACAATGAGACCAAAATTGAATTTTTACCTCGATGGATGTGTAAATCTTTTTATCACAATTTCGTCGAGTAGTTTATTTATTTAAAAAAAAAAATTAAGTAGACAAAAAAAAAAGAGTGGACCAAAACAAAACAGCCGTATTTTCAGAATACGTTTTCTTTAAAAAATAATCAAGAAAACGTATTCCGAGAATACGTTTTACAAAAAAAAGTAAAATTAATTTTTTTTTAAAAAAAAAATGTTTTAAAAAAAAATTGGCAAATAATAATTAAAATGTATTTTTCTAAAACGTAATTTGAAAATACGTTTTAAAGCAAAACGTATTATGAAAATACGTTTCAAGAGAAATTTTTTTTTTTTGAAAAAAATAATATTTTTATTAAACGTATTCTGAGAATACGTTTTTTACGTTTAATATAAAAAAAAATCTCTTCCTATCCTTCATTCACACAGAAACACGAACAAAAACGAAAAAAAAGAGGGCAAGAGCGATTTTTTAGCGTAAAAAAAAATCGATCCAATCTTCATCCCGGCGTGAACCGACAACACCGGCACGAGTCTCATTTCCAGTTAATTCATTCGCACGAGGTATATTGTCTTATCTTTACTTTTTACATTATTTGAA